CAAAACTATGGTTTTGACTCCAAAACCATAGTTTTGGAAAAAGCAGAAATTTTTTACTTTTGGAGAAAAAAGGAAGAGTGTGAGAGCCTATAGGATATGTATCTTGTTGTTTTTTTTATAAACATATTTTTTATAAACATATTTAATCTTATATCTTATAAATATATATACATATTAATTATTTATTAATTATATTATCTTATATATTATTAATATATGTTAGTAAAAAATATATTATTAACAATTTTATTCCTTCAAATTAAAATATATCATAAAATATATTATTTCTATAATTATCATATTAATTTATGCCAATTTGTATACATAAAAAGTACTTCTAATAGCAACTATCCAAACACTCACACTTCTCAAAATCACTTTTTCACAAAATCTATTCTTCCCAAAATCTATTTTTTTCAGAATCTATTCTCTAGAAGCTATTTTCCAAACCATGGTTTGGTTTCATCCAAACACACCCAAAATAAATATATAGGAAAGGTTTGGCCCAACTTGCATAAATATGCTTATAACAGCTTTATTGATCTTGGAACTAAACACACAAATTAAAGTAACCAATTGTCTGGCTCTAATTCAAAAACTCAGCTGTGGCCTTGGCGCCACAGATAATTGAATTTATGGGTTATTCATCTTTATTATGTGTTATTTATTCAACACAACCCTATTCTATATGAATTTTTCTACATTGATTTAAGTATTAAGGACTTGTTTGAAATAATAATTGAACCCTTAAAAAATAAATTTTTAATTATAATGTACTAAATATAAAATAAGTATACAAGGAAAATTTGGTTTCACCTTATATAAGAGCCTTCAAATAATCATAAATAGAGCAGCTGTAAAAACGTGAGCCTGGAAGAATGGCAAGGGCGTAATTTAAATTGGGAATGGGAGGCGACATCGGGAATTCAATTCGTGGTGGAGATGACAGCTGCCGTGGGGCCTACCAAGGTACGACGGCAATAGAGGCGAGTGAGGGCACATGCACGGCCGTCAAAACCGGCTGAGCCCATCATGCCAGTCTTTTTAAGTCTTTTTAAGTAGAGGGCCGGGTTTGTATTTTAAGTGATTTAAAAAAAAATTAGACTTAAAAGGGTTAGCTTTATAGGGCTCAAAAAAAAAAAAAGGGCTAACCCTTTAAAGTCAAAGACTAGCCTTTTTAAGCTTGCCTATTTTTTTTTATTATCAATATATTTATACAGTTATAGATTAGTCTTTTATAAATAAGTTTAAATTAGAAAAATACTTAGAAAAATCAATGCTCAAGTTAGATAATTGAAAAGAATTAGATGTATTGGACTTGTGGAAGAACAATTAAAATCAATTTTCAATTCTTTCAAGAATGGTAGCTGATATTCTTAACATTTTAATCACCATAATAGCTAGTAGATGTTCATTTACCATCGGTTTACATATCTTAACAAAGTGTAAAACTTTTCTTATTCGAACAAATGTTCAGGCTCTTATTTGTACTTATAACTACTGTATAGTTTTATTTTAGATAAGGTAAATGAAGACAAAAACTTTAATATTTTTATCATTGAAGAAGAGCTCACTTGTAGTAAAGAACAATCAAATATTGCTGATCTTGATGATATTGATGAAGATGAAGATGAAGATAATAATTATGTTGATATTGTTAATCTTTAACTGCTAGGTTTTATCTTTCTATTTTTCGTGTTTTGTTAGATTTTGATTTTTTTTATTTTGGACAATAATTTATTGGAATTTAATTTTTTTTTCTATACACCACTAATTTATTTTACTTATATTTATATTTTGAATAAAAAATCTTAGAAGTTTTGTTGTTTTATTTTATATTTTAAAATAATTAAAAAGAATTTAAATTTTAAAAAATAACATAAAAGGGCCAGCCCTTTTAAACCCTGAGCCCGCATGTCTAAGGACCGGGCTTTAATGATTAGATAATTTTAAGGTATGTGGGCTTTAAAGGACTGGCTTTTTATAGGCCCTGGCCCTTCAAGGGCTAGCCCTTTAGGGTCGGGTTGGCTCTTATTGACAGCTCTACACATGGCACCAACAGCCCAACACTCCCGCTCCGTGTACGTGGCTTTCATTTTCTTCCATGCTCATCAGATTGTCGCTATCTCATCGAACTCCCAAGCCTCCTATCTTCCGTTAATTCGTCGGTTGGGACTGCATCCATTTCAGCTAACGCTGCACTCTGCACTAACACACAAGCCACACTTGTTTCTCCTCTCTTCGCTTTCCTTCTCATTTCTATGATATTTTTGCCGCACATTTTCTCTTGCATTTCAATATTAGTCTGATCGACAATACATATTTTCGAATTTGCAAGCAGATGAGATAGGTGAAATTTTATTCATTTGATGATTTAATTATTTCCATAATTTATTGTTTCAATTCTTTTAAATTCTCGTTTTTCCCTGGTACGTAAACACAACGGTAATCTCCCTCCGTTCCTTATTATAAGAGACAAATAACCGAAATACGTTGATAAAAAAAACAGTTAAAATTAGTTAAGAACAATTAATGTGTAAAAAGTATAATTTTTTTCCAAAAATGCCCTCGTTAATAAGGAGAGAGAGCATGAGAGAGAACAATTAAATTATTAAAAGAAAGAGAAGTGGAGGGAGAGAGAGTGCGAGTTGGAGATAATAAATATGGGTAAAATAGTAAATCAACACAAAAAAGTAGAGACAACTTGTAAGTGTCTCTTATATATAGGAACATGCCATAAGCATCAAATGTCTCTTATAATAAGGAACGGAGGGAGTACATTTTAAAGATTCTTTAGTATTTTAATGTTAAATAACCTTAGATTTAGTCACTATAATTTCTTAATTTGAGGCTAAAATTTAATTTACAAGCAGTTATAAAACTAATAGTGACCAAATACTCAAACAATCTCAATATTTTCCGCCAAACTAGCTAGTTCTTTGATGAATAAAAATATCTAATGATAATAATCGAACCATAATACTACTGCGAAACGGAATTAATTAATGACAAACTATTAATGCGTCCAGTTTCCATATAAAACATAACCATGCTAAGCGCCAATGCACGTGAACCCCCGACAAGGCGGGTTCTTTCCGCTTCCCTTTTGCCCTTTGGCGCCATTATGTAGCCATGGTGGTTTTTCGCAGCAGACAAATTGGGATGGGAGCAGTGCGATTTAGTATATTAGTCACTCCATTGTGCATAATGGGACGCTTTACTGCCAGTACCATGTAAGGTCCGAATTAAAAAAAAAAAAATTTACTACTACATATATAATGCGTTAATAATCCACACACAGGTAATGGCGGGGGAAAAAAAAAAAATCCATACACAGGTGTCTGATAACGTCCTCCACGTATATTCTCTGTCACCTGTTAGGAATTCAGTCGCCTTGTGTTTAGGAATCACCTGTTATTTACAAACTCCCTAATGTATGACTTTATTTTTTAACACAAATAATTTAGATGAGTTATGTTTTCAGGTTCAGTGACTTTTACAGAGATATACACTTACAAATTACTTACTGACAAAATTTTCACATTGGCAGTATGATTCAAATTAATGATCTTGTGAGTTTTGGGCTGACTTTTTATCAGACCAGTTATTATTTTAATCCTTCCTGTACGATGGTATAATTCGGCAGGTTTTTTTTGAGTATTCAGGTGCTTTAAAAACTAGATAACTGTCTTATACATGCATCCACCCTTAATCCATTAAAAAAGACATCAGACACGTGCATTTCACGCACAAAGACAATATAGTTATATTAGTAATCCAGTCATTTCTACACGCTGTACAAACTGCTTTTCAAAGATTAAGAAAAACAGTTAAAATTATCTATAAACATACTCCCTCCGTTCCTTATTATAAGAGACATTTGATGCTTATGATATGTTCCTATATATAAGAGACACTTACAAGTTGTCTCTACTTTTTTGTGTTGATTTACTACTTTACCCATATTTATTATCTCCAACTCACACTCTCTCTCCTCCCACTTCTCTTTCTTTTAATAATTTAATTGTTCTCTCTCATGCTCTCTCTCCTTATTAATGAGGGCATTTTTGGAAAAAAATTATACTTTTTACACATTAATTGTTCTTAACTAATTTTAACTGTTTTTTTTTATCAACGTACTTCGGTTATTTGTCTCTTATAATAAGGAACGGAGGGAGTATTATTTTTATCACGGTTAAAGTTGCTTCGAAACCAAAGCCTTGGTTGCTTAGCAGGATCAATCTCACTTCTCACCTGTGGTGGTAAATACAATTCTACCCAAACGACAAAAAATAACATTAAAAGTTACTTTAAAATTGAAACATTTTTTTTCGAAAAGATAAATATAATTAATGGGAGGGAGTACTTTTCGGTTTGCATGGTATTGCTCCATCCGCAGGCATGCAATAGATGTGGTAAAGAGCGATGACTCACGGGTAAAGGCTGATTCCATAAAGGCCCAATTCCTACTTCCGCGCATTCATTCCCTCCCTCGTGCCCCTTGTCAAATCCATTTATCTTCTGTTGGCCAAAAAAAAAAAAAATCCATTTATTTTCCTAAAACTTCCCTGATCTCCAATTTCTTTCTTTCTTTTTTCCTATGCCCCATAACAGAGCGAATATATTTTAATATAATATGATCAGTAAATTATTTTTTGGCCAGAGATTAAAAAAATTGATAATAGATCTATTTTTATGCTTCCCTTTCAATTCAAATCACCAACCTCTCAATTTCCCTCTTCTAATTTTCTTTTGGCCATTCCCTTTTATGCTTACAAGTACTCTAATTTTGAAAATCAATCTATCATTTAACAATAAAAGTCAAAATTAATGCAGTTCTTCTTGTCCATCCAGTCCAACTTATCGAAATTCCCGCGGTCGGCAAAAATCAGGAATCCAATGACATTTGTTTGCGAGAGAGCTACAGTTCTTGGAAAATTTGGCGGGCACTAGAAGCAAATTCAAAAAAAGGAGCAAAGCGAACCCTACCTCCCTCATTGTCTTCCCTCCTCTCTGCCTCTCTCTTCCCCCCAACCTTCATGTTTGCCCTGTCGCTGTCTAACTCAAATTCCTATTTTCTCTCTCCAGAATTTCTGCGCAGTGCGACCTACTCTCCGAGGTAAGTCCCTCATAGCTTTTTCACTCCCTGGCTGATTTTGTGTTTGAATATTTAAATTAATCACTCGTCCCATGAAGTTCGCCGATAGTCTGATCTGGCTTCTACCTTCGTTATTTAGTCTCTATTAGGATTCTTCGTGGTTTCTACTTGCCGCTTTCTTTCGAGCTTATTAGATAGGTTCGTGGGAATCTCTAATATCTATTCACGCAAATTTCGTTTATTCTTTTTGATATTTGAGCTTGACCTTCAGGGTTTACTGAAATGATGATGGTTTGGCAAGGTGCTTCAAGTTTCTTCTGGAGTTTCCCTAGCCCATTTTTTCGACGTCATTGAAGGAATTTATTGTGGTTGTGTTTCAGGATAGGTTGATGGTAAATTAAGTAGAGCAAGGTCTTACGGCTGAGGCAACATCAATCGAGGCACACAAAGCGAAAAGCATGGGAAAGGTGTCTCCACAAAAGAAGAGTGGCAAGAGAACTAAACAAACAAGACCATTTCACAACTCAAGTGGCAAGTATCTGAAACCAGGTGCTCTTGCTCAGCTTCGATCCCATAAGTCGTCCACTGTCAAGTCTTACAGGAATTTTAGAAAGAAAAGAGTGGCGATCTTGCATTCGAGGAAAACAGAGAATAGTGTAGCACCTGAAAACAAAGTACATGATAAAAGCCCTTTGATGTTATCGCCAGTGAATTTGGCCAAACAAAATTATTTGTCTGCTACACCAAAGACTCCACGAATTGAAAATTGTCAATCAGATTCAAGGCTTGAGTCGCTTCCCATGGATTTATTGGTATGATTAGTGCACGTTTTCTTTCTTTGAAGTTCTGGATCGGTAGATCTATTATCTTCAAAATTATGATTTCACATCGTGTTGTGTCCTGTATGACTGCCTTGTGTATTCTTCATTCTCTTATATTACAAATGAAATCATGTTTGACTGTCTTTTGGATTTAAAAGTACGTTATATTTATTCATCCCCTGTCTCCGTTTTTAAGGAGCCCTATGAAGCAATGTGCTCTTATCTTCAGCCCCCTTTCTTAAAGATTGGGGGGGGGGGGTCTTTCATATTATCGTTGTTTGTGATGGACTGCTTCATTTCTTATTGCTTATCTCTCTTTATAGTGTTTTGAAGAACATAGACTTTATGTTTGCCATCGTTGTATGAGTTTACTGGATTGTGTTATCATCTAAATGACGACATTTGTTAATATGGACGGGGCCTAAGGTATTAATTAACAGGCTAAAGATGCACTATCTTCATGAAAAAAATGCATGAACACGCGCATTCAGACTTTTTTGTCCCTCACCAAGAAATAAGAGGGAGAAAAAGTTTGAATTACAATGTGTTACGGACAAACATGCCCCTGCATACAAAACTATATACTTAATGCTGTGAATCTCGTTTTTTCCTTTCCGTTTGGCTCTTTACTCGTCCAATTAGACTGCTGCAGTCAGCCGTGTATGCTTGCCATTTTCAACTCTTTTCGTCTTCATCTGTAGTGCTGACTTCCTTTTCCTTCACAAATTTGAGGTCAAAATATTGTGCCATTTGCACCATGACCAACTGAAGGCAGTCTTCCATGTTTCTCAAAGGATTAGAAAAGCAGTAAGTCTGTCTTTCTACTGTTTGGTATTCTTGCTTTAAGTGGTTGCTCTCCACAAGTGGTTCGTTTATTTGCAATCTCTGGTCATCACATGTTCTGTGTTATACAAGGTTTTGATAGCAAGGCAATTCCACTTCAATTATACGACCCCAGATCGCTCTCGCCAGGAAATGTTATGTACAACGACCCCCTGTCTCTCTGATCATTGGCCTTTTCTCTGGTAGGTATTTAACGCTTAAAGTTTCTTTCATTCTTGTGCACGTGTTTCTGATTTGTGGACTTAACATGTAGCAAGGGCGATGGGAAGAGTATGAAAATTTCAAGTCCGCACGCACCCAAAGCACCTAGGCATGGGCCACGACCGCCTTCTCGCCTAAAACTTTCGGAGATGCGGCAAGTTGCAGTTGTCCTTTTCAAGGAATCAGCATTCCCTTCTCGATGTATGATGCCATCAGTTTTACCAAAGCCCCTATCGAAAAGCTTGGCTTCTAATCGAGTTTTATTCTACGAGGATGAATTATGTCAGGCTGTTGCTCAGAACAAGCTTCGCTGATATAATCATGCCATATACATATACATCTTTTTCATCGCCTCATGTTTTTCTGCTGTATAGTTTCTGTCTCTAGTTTCTACGAGCAGTAGCGGTAAGAATAACAAGAATTCAATACTTGTGTATAGTGCTTTGTCTCCAGTTTCTTTTGGGGCATTTTAGTCGGCGTGTATATTTCAAATGTCTAAAATGACGAGAGTTATAAAATAGCCGGGGTTACTTTTTATATTACCAATACCTGTGTACGTCAAACAATTGCTTGTTGTTTCTGTATCGACACTTAGTTGCTCTTTCACTGTGGTATGAAATGCTCTGTTTTTGTGTTCCCGTACACATGCATGTTTTCCGAGTATCATACTATTTTCTCCCGCCGAAAATAAATCGGATACGTTTCTATTGCTTATTCACGGTATTGCACTACCTTTCAGAAATGCAAATGAGAAAAAAAGTTGAAATTTGAACTTTTATAGGATAGTATTTCTCTATAAAACTCTGTTCAAGGGGTTGCATCATGTGGCCATGCCCAACACCAGTCAAGATACATTAATGCCTCAGGAGATATTTGGTCAGTCGCTATGAAATTATTGGGCAAGGGAACCCGAATGACTATACTGCTAGAAAATCAAACCCCCCAACGAAGTAGCTGTTTCAATTAAGATTGGAAAAATTTTCTAAAAGAAGTCCTTAATTTTATCATCAAGCACCAGAGAACTAAGGGCATGATAGGCCTTCTCTGTAGGATGGTAACTGTCCCAGAATACGTAGTCTGAGGAGTTTGTGCACGTATTTATGCTGTAAGGATTGCACAAGATGCCGACCTCTATATTTCCTGTTCCACAGCACCCTTTGTTTGTCACTTTAAAACCTGAAACGCCACACATAAGAAAAGCAATCAGCGGATCAAGTCGCTTACAATCTGCAACTCTCGCCTTTTAGTGGTAGGGTAAGAGCACGAAGATTACCATATGTAAATGGGTTTTGAAGAAGTGTAAGCAAAGGGTTATAAACATCAAGATAGACAAGCCTTGACTCTGGAAACCTCTTGTTAAGGGCATCCATTTCAGAAGTGAGCTTGGAGTTGAAGAGAAGTGCTGCTAGGTTGGCATTGTATGAGCATTCTCTAAGGATGCCTCCTTCTATTGTTCTCTGTGACGGCATACACCCTATTGCTGTTATACCAAATACTCCAATTCTTCTAGCACCTATTCCATAAAGCTCCTGTGTTCCACTCAGGTTTTAATTTTTTTCCCCCCTTTTAGAATATAGAACACAAAATTTGAAGTTCAAAAATGCTCGGTAGGGAAAGATGGTTCCATAAAGCACACACCTGCAAGAAGTGTGAAGCTTGTGAAGCCATTAAGTCTGTATAAGATGGAATGTCATACTGGATTCGCCTAATTGGTGTTTGAACATAAGTATTGGCAATGTCATCACTTCCTATGCAGACTACGTATACGCTCTTTGATATTATAATCGCCGTTCTGCTTTCTCCAGCTTCATCCTTTATCTTCTTTATGTACTCCTTGAACATGTTCAGCTGATCTGATAAAGGTATTACAGACTTTCACAACAAACAGAGTTACAAAACTATGCAACACAAGTTCCTCAGATGCTTGCATTCAATGTTTGCAGAAAAAAACGATAACTTTGAAGATATTTCTTCCTTCTTAGCATCACAAAAAAATGAGAACTCAATAACAAACACAACCTGCTGAAAAACGTTATGCAGGGTTAGTTATATACCATTAATTCAGAAGTGATAGGGTCATATCCAGCACCACCGGAGGCGAAGCTTACACCGGTGAGGAGGTCTTGGAGATGCAGGCTTGGATCCAGATAAGCTGGCAAAAGCTTCTTGACACCAAATTTACCAGCTGAGAGAGAGCAGAAGAAGAAGAATGTGAGAAAAATGAGGGAGAAAATATCGATTATTTTCTGCACTAGTACCAAAAATAGAAAAGCATAAATGGGACACCACCTATGATGTCTGAGGGGACCAAACCATTGCTAAACCTCCCAGTCGGACGATTTCCCTCAGCGAAATCTCTACCGTATGGTGGGAAATTGCACTTGACGAGAGTGTTAATATAATTGTTGTTTCCTGGATCCACTATGGAGTCTCCAAAAGCAAAGACTGCTGGTATGGTTTCATTGTTTGGCAGGCTTACAACAGAGCCACTGTGTTCAAAGATGATAGCTATGGCAGAGAACCAAAGCATGGTTAAATGTATTTGAGAAAGAAGGTTCTGAAATAGAGGATCCATGTTGACAACACGAAAATGAACTTCTGTTAATTTGGATCTTTTTGAGTATTTTATAGGCGGGCAAAGCTTAATTTGACTGGGTTATCTGAGACGCACTTTACTTTAGAAATAAACGTAATTTGCATCCATTAGTAATGTTATTTGCAATCATAAGATTGTGCTCTCTAACGAAATCCAATGTTTGACAAGTATCTGTGCTCATCTGCAACTAAGGCCTGCTCATTAATTAATGGAAGATGAAGAGAATTATGTGGCAGCAATTCATGTAAAAAGGCTGAATCGTAAAATCTTCATGCCGCCCCTCTTGCATGATTGAACCTCCACTCATTTCAGCGTAATTCATAGTTTCCCTATGATTCATTCATATTATTATCCGGCCACCAAATGGTTTATAATAGCATAAATATTGCCATTTATATAAATTAAAAGCAAAAACTTTTCCCAATATTTTTGAAACAAAATTTGCTTAGATTTAATGCCTTTTAAATTTTTTAGGGATATTCGAATTGATTTTTTTTTTTGAAGTATCTGTATTTTTATCAACCCAAAACGAGAACTCTATAAATATATATTAGCAGAGAATATATTTTATTTCCCTTAAATGAGTCTTAATATTATTTTAAACATCATTTCAAAAATGCAATGAAAAATTTATTCTTTTAAAAACAAATAACGTTATCTTTAATTTCATTTAACGTGGTGGATTTTGTGCGTATTTTACCGTTTTATGTTTAATGTAAAAGATTTTGAATCAAGTAATTTTTCTTGAATTCTTGCCAGACAAGCCCTAATTACGCTTGCTTTTCACTGAATCAATCCATATTTATGAGTTAATATTCGTTATTTTATTAGGTGAGCACATCTTCACTTCTATTTTGTCATGCACTTTTTTTGAGGTTCTTTTGTTTTTGTTTTTTGCCAACACTTTTTTGTTCAGGGTTCAAAATCATATAATTCAATTTCAAATAATTATTAGTCAAATTAATTTTAATTTTAGGGAGAATCTAAAAAAAATATTTGAATTTCAGAATTCCAAATCAATTTTGTTCACTACATTTTAATAACAATTTATAACATTTGAAAACCAAATAATAACACATTTTTATAATCGTTCCCAACTTGAGATTTTAAAATATTTTTTCCAGATTTTTTCCTAATTTTAACTATAATTATGTACTTCTCAACACATCCAAAATATAAAGGAGTTTTATCACCAACATATATATATATATATATATATATTTGGCATCACACACATTTTTATATTCACACCTTACAACTTACAATTATCTGAAATTTGTGATAGAATCATTTATCTTAAATCCAGTAGCTTTCTGTTCCCATTTCTTCTTGGTGTCGGTCAACACCATTCATGTTCGTGAACAAATTTAAGTGACTGAGGAAAATACAAGGGAAAATTCCACGCTGCTTCAACAAGAAGAAGATCGCACCTTAGTACTAGAAACCTCTGTACAAAGACGAAGCCTAACACCAGAATACAAATTAATTAATTTAGATGTATATATCTTCAAGCAAACAAGGCTGTTCTCCTAACTGGGATATCCCAGTCTATTAATACATAAATCGAAACAGTAAGTTAAGAAAAAAAGCGGGGAACCATGAAATGCAAATTTGACAATTAGAGTTCACAACAATTCCTAGAAAGCAAAGAATCAAAACCACCTCATGCTTCAAGGAGATCTAGAGTACCGTCAGACCAACACCCATATAGATTCCCACTTCTTCAGCTGCAAATGAATGATTAAAAAGCAACAGGGGCAGAGAAACAGGCGGAACAGAGAGGGCTGTCCAATGTATACACCTAGTAAATCATAATATGGAACAGGCCTTTGCTTTATTTTTCTTTTTCTTCTGCTTTGGCGGTTGAAGAACAACTCTTATGGCTTGATCGAACACTGCCTTCACATTCTGCAGTAAATTCCAGATGAAAACTTCAAATCCAAGCACTTCAAATTTACTCACGTCAGATGAAAGTCAATAATAGACTCAACTAATACCTGCTGGGTTTTCGAACTGCATTCAATGTAAGCAGGTGCATTGATCAGCTTCCTAAGCTCTTCTCCCTTGGATGAAATTACAATGTCAATTTTTCTTTTTCTCCTTTCGATTAAAGGGCTTCCAAAGATATCCTAAATGTAAATAATATAATATCAACAAGCAAAATTGATCTTATGTACCTGAGCCGTGGTAATTGGTACAGCACCTGGATGGTCTATGAAGAACTGCTTATCATCCCGAAGGTCTGTCACAAGAAGAAATTTTAAGAACACAACTGAACTAAATAGATAGTAAAACCTCTTTACATAACACTGTCCAATATAATTCTATCTCTGGTCCAAATCATCCGCATAATTTTTCCAGAGTACACAACTCTATGTTTTCATTTTTTCCCCCATAATAATAATACAAAGTGTAAGAATGACGAATGAAGAAGAAATACAGAAACATTAACATAAGCCCAACACTGACAAGCATTTTCAGTGAAATGGATAATTCATCCACTCCACCACAACTCAAACACTACCAATCTTCTAAGCATTTTGCATTTAATAAATACTCCCGATACTAAAATGCTACAACATTGCGCTAGACTCCCCAGTGTGTTCAATCTAGTTATTCACAGGAAAAAAAAATTAAAAGGAAAATACATATCATGCTGACATGTCTGAAGATTAACATTGTCTAATTATTTAATGCTGATGCTGAGAAGGGACCAAAATCCAAAAAATTTGCAAAATCCACTATTTCAGGAATAAATGGGAAGGGGAAAAAAACCCAATAGAAAGGCATTAAAAGAAGCACAAAAAACAGCAGTTCATCACTGAGGAAAAAATGATCACAGAAAAATAAAAAATCATCCGTGTTGTTGATATTGGACAGTTCCAAGACATTAATCAAGAAGCTATCTAATCCAAAATAAGAAATTGCATGCAACCATAATAACCAAACCTAATGGAATTTGACGTCATATAACTTAGTTACAACAGAAAGAGCCGCTAAAATTAATAATTTATAAGCTGCAAGGAAGCAACTAAAAAGTCATGCTATTCATATAAACTCACCAAGCTTTGTGCCGACCAGAACTATGGGGACACCGGGTGCATAATGCTTCAACTCTGGAATCCACTGGAAACGAAACCAACGGATTAACAATGTAGATAACTTTAATAAAAAGACAGAATGCAGTATATTGTTCATTGCGGATCATAGTGAAACCAATGACATTCAAGTTCCAGGAGATAAGCACAAGAGTTCAAATGATTTAAAAAAAAACAAAAGAAAAAGAAAAAAGCGGATGATGCTTCAACTCCCAAATACCGAGGAGCATGGTACCTTTTTGGAAACATTTTCGTAACTGGCTTTGCTTATGAGAGAGAAAGCCAGTATGAAAACATCAGCACCACGGTAACTCAAAGGTCTTAATCTGTTATAATCTTCTTGTCCTGTTCCACAAAATAATAGAATAAAAAGCCAGAGAGAAGAAGCAATGTAAAATTGCAGCAATAAAAGAATAACCATGCAGCATTACCAGCAGTGTCCCACAAACCCAAATTAACAGTGCTTCCATTGACAACCACATTTGCACTGAAATTGTCGAAGACAGTTGGCACATAATCCTGTTTGTAAGCACATGTGAAAAAAGTAAAACGACAATGGTCTCCTTTTTCCAGTTAGCATACAAATATGAGATCAACACTTAATTTGCAGTTTATCCGTTAGTGTCATCAAAATATGCTTCTACTTTAAATAGGTAATCAAACCACCATTTCCCGTATTCTCATTCCTTTCAAATACAAACAGCACGGATAATTTGTTAAAACCTAAGATGCACGGACATTGATACAAATACAGGATGTGACACTAACTCTGACACAAACGCAACTCCTTTATGTAGTGTTCTTTATACATGCGTAAAGGCATAATCAAACATCATGATTACGACCCTAAATGCAGGTCAAAACAGGGTTTAATAACCATCAATTAATTTATTAAATAAATTCAAAGTGCTAATCATGTTGGGTTTAAGAAGCCAATGGTAAGTCGCAGAATAAACATACTTCGCATCACCACCCCAAGCTTCTTTGGCTTGTTTTGTTTTTGTTTTTGTTTTTTTGGGGGGGGGGGGGGGAGGCGTTGGTTCATGGTTTCATTATTACTGCCAAACTAACTTTCCAAAACAACAGGAGCAACCCCACAAACCATTTAATCCATGTTGCCAATCCCGAACTACCGTCCTTGAAAGAAAGAACACTTTTCTTCACCGCTCGAGTTTCTTCCCATTTCGTATAATTTAACATTCTCGTTGTAATGCCTCAAAAACCAAAATTTTAGTATCAGGCTCAAAAAAAGGAAAAAATAACAAGAGCTCACAGTGGGAAAGGTATTGCTGGTATAGGATATTAGCAAACATGTCTTGCCCACAGCTCCATCCCCAACAGTGACGCACTTTATGAACCTAGAAGCGCTCATCTTTGTTGAATATTGAAAGCCTCAGATCTTCGCCTGAGGACACGATCACACGCCCCTCTGATTTCTCCTTCTGATGCTTCTACTTCAATTGCAGATCTGTATGGAGCAAAACGCAAATGCAGAAAAAGTACAACCTTCCATAAATAAAGGAAAAGAAAAACAAAAGAATGCCCAAATGTTTTCGAACCCTAGCTGCGAAATGCCCAGAGTGAAGAATAACGATAAGATAGGAACTTGCAACGAAAAGAAAGAAAATTTTCAAGAAATTGGGAAACCCTAATGCTTATGGAGAAAGACAGAATTATTCATTGCGGTAAGCAGATGCAGATGAAAGAGAAAGAAACAAACCCCTTTGGCCGGGAAATTTTGCCGTTGAAGCGTTCGTTGAGCGAACCAATCTTCACCAACAATCCCCTCTCTGGTGGTGGTGCTATTGTTATTTTATTTATGATTCTCTAAACTTGTAAAATTTCCTTTTTTTGACAATTTTATATGACGACTTCGTCGCAAGCAAATTCGGCTCCCCTCAATGATAGGACCTTGTCCTCACTCTACTCACGGATTCGCTTAGCTTCCTTTTTTCCCCCTTTTATTTTTAACTTTTGTTTAATTGATTTTCTATCACAGGGTTGGCAAACCTTCTTGATAACGACAAAATACTGCATGAAAAGAATAAATACCAGTGTGATTGAAATAATAATATAATACAATAAAATACTGCTACTACAAAAGCTGCAGTAAAGAACAACATGAAGTAGAAGCACTGAGGAGGCAACAAAAATTATCGGACGGTGATAAAAATTCTTTATAAACATATTTTATATAAATTGAGATAAAAAATTTTCACACATTTATATTATATTTTATAAATTACTCAATGTTAATTCAGATTGTCATAAGCATATATAGGGCCTATTTGATTATTGATAAAAAAAAGTAATTTATTATCAATTTGGCTTTTAAAAAATTAAATTGGATAAAAATTAAATTGGGTGATGTAAATTGTGTTTAGATTAGATTTATAAAAATTAGTTTGTAAAAATTAGATTGGGTGAAAGGTTGTTTGAATTATGATTAAATAAAAGTAAGTTTAATTTGTAAAATTACCAAAATATATATTTTTATTAGATAATAAAAAATAAATTTATATAATACTATGAATTTAAATTAAGTTTAGTTTATAAAATTATCAACAAAAAGTATGATTTTTATTAAATAAAAAATGATTAAAAAATAAATTTACATAAAGTAATGAACTTAAATTATTATAATAGGAAAAAGAGCAATTTAATGAACGAAATATATTTTAAAAAATTAGAAATACTGTAAAAAGGTTTTTGTAAATAGAAAAGGATAAGAGTGAACGAGTGTGAGTGTGGCGGGGAAAACGAAACCGGCTTTCGAATTAGAGAATAGAGGCATAAGAGGGAGAGAAGAATATCTGATTACTCTAATTATTATTTTAGGGTTATTTCTCCAATCATAAGCACGGCGCATGAGCTCAAAACGTAGCTCAGCTTAGCTTATTCAAATCGCGCGTTGAATCTCACTTCCGGCCCACAAGTAAGATGAAATAAAAGTTCAACCAAACAGACTTAAATTTCTAAATATACTTCTAAGCTGAAATAAAGAGTTTCTGCACCTGTGACCGCTGAGGCAGACGGACGCATAATCATGCATCCTTGTTTCCTAGACGAGTGGTTAAGATTTAACTTATACAGTAGACAAATCTAATATAAATAGAGGTGGGCTTTTTACATAATCAAATAAAAATATTTATTAAACTTCAATTAAATGTAATGACGACGACACGAAAAAATATCTCTAAAATATGTAATTTTCATATTAGATCACACAGTGACATTATTCTTATAAAGTTTATAGAGATTTTCATCACATTAATTTTTGTTTGCCAGAGAACTATGCTGCCCTTGTACAAAAACCAAAAGAAAAATCTGTTCGCCATCCACAATAAAGCGACTTGGGAACAAGAAAAAAAAATTTTAATTATATAAAATAAAAAAATAAAAGTTTAGATTGTGATATTAATCTTAAGGTAAAGTCAATAACTAAGTGCAGCCCATCCTTTAAACAACACCAGCTAACATGGGCACAAAAAAAAAAAAACAAAAAAAAAAAAAGAGAAAACACTTCCACCGGTGAGGACCTTTGCTTCTATCGGACATTCAGTGGAAGAGGTGCTGGCTGGTGGAGAAGTCGTTCCTCCTTCATTCGTTGTGAGCGCTGATAAGTGGTTCTGGTATACTCTCGGATTTGATTTCTGCGATTCATGGTTTGGATAAATCACAAACAATTTCCTTTTTCTTAAGGAGATTTTGGTTTTTTTTATATTATATTTTTTTATACTTAATTTTTTTAACCTGTGTTTTATACTTAATTCATATGTTTATTTTTGGCCAAAAATATTCATATGTATGTCAAATAAAAATCATATTAAACTTTTTCTGTCATACGAAAAATATTTATAAATAAATCTAATTATTTTATTAATTTTTGTTCTCCTTTTTTTGGCCAATTATTTTTATTTTCCTTTAGTCCAAATCCTGAAAGAGCACGGAGTGACGAAAAATTTGAGCCGGAGGAACAAGTTCCGAGTTCCGACCAGCCATAAATAGTTTATTGATTTTTTTTTTGGCCAATAAATAGTTGATTGATTTTTCCTGTTTTAAAATAATAAACATTAACATAATGATAATAATCGATCATTCTATGTAACAGCACCCTTCCTTCCTTCCTTGCACCCTTTTTATCCAGTTTTTCCGCCCGTCGAGCGTCACCTAATTTCCTTCATCATACATAAAAGCCCGGCGATTGTGAAATTCCCAATAAAGTAAGTGGCTTTGGCGGTTTTGCCCGTCCAGGTTTATGACTAAGGCAGCTCTTCCGGTAAATTGAATTTTGTTTTTTAAATGTAATTCATTGCTGCTTGGGTTTGCTCATGACTCTTTCCCTTTGTCCAATCTCCTCTCCGTGGCTGTGGCTATTGCTTATTTGTGTTTTAGGCGTTTGTCTGGAGTCTGGATTTCCTTTTCCTTTCCGTCAACCAGAGTATTGATTCGGCCGCCGCACCGTTCTGTTTCTCGAATGTGCCCCTTTTCGGCGCTAACGAACGGAAACGGGGGAGGCAACTGCATCTCTTTCTTTTTCTTAATTTTTTTTTAAAAAATTAATGCGACGACTAAATTGGGTGGCAAACATATGGCCTGCTCGGGTTCTTCTTTTGTTTTGTGCGTGTTCTGTAGATAGTAGGCTTCATGCTCCCTGGCTGTTCTCGTTTACATTTACGGTTATTTGTTCTGGCCTCTTGCAATAGTAATTGAATCAGTCATTTGCGGTCATCTAGAAGCTATCGGTAACTCTTATATACATACAACTCTCTCTTTAATAGGCATTTTTTGTCTGTTAAATGGTAGATGGCAGGTCGAGTTACAAGATCAAGAAGACTACCACCTCAGCAGCAGGAACAGCAGTCAAGGGCTAGGTGGACCACATCGCTCACTAAGATACTTGTAGACCTGATGGTTGACCAAGTACATAAAGGGAATAAACAGAGCAACTCTTTTAACAAGAAGGCATGGAAATATATCTGTGATGAATTTTACAGCAAGACAGGTCTGAAATGGGATAAGGAACAACTCAAAAATCGTTATTCAGTATTGAGGAAGCAGTATACAACTGTAAAGTCCATTCTCGAACGAAGTGATTTTAATTGGGATGAAGCCACAGGATCTATTATTGCCGAGGAGGAAGTTTGGGCTGAATACATCAAGGTATGTGTCTTTCTCTTTTGTTTTATCGTCATCACATGTTAGTCGTTTGCTCAAGTCATGATTCCATTACGTGATCATTCCAATGTCCCTTTAGACTGATATCTTTTGTGGCAAGATTTCAGCGGTTTTGTTTTAACCAGAACATATCTTTTGTTGCCTGTTCAAGATGTATGGCTTCCTTCCCCAACTGAATCATTACTATATCTACTTTTACCAATCCATCTTTATCTTCTGTTCTCTCATTAGTTTTTCATGTCAATTTTTTTATCATGCATTACAAATTATGCACATCTGGTATTATATTTTCTGCTATTTCATCAACAGGTTGTTTGATCTTGCAATAACTTGTCACTCATTGTATTAAAGATTACAATCTCATTATCCAGTGTGAATTCTTCATATCATGCTATCGTCTTTTTCTGTAGGCCCAGAGAAAAATCGATCTTACTATCTCTTTGACCCTGTTTATTTTATGGGATGGATTTGTTTATATGGCTTCCCTTTGGTCCTCTGCACGTGGTTTTTTCAAGGCATCCTTTATTTAACATCCAGAGAGATTGATCAACTTTAATATGACTGCGGGCTGTTTAATTAGGAATTTTCTACTGTTAGGTTTGCGGTATTTGTGGCTATTTTTCGAGATATTTTCTTCTCCACTAAATTGTATATCTCCTTCCTTGTTTTCTCGGAAAATAATTCCTGACCACGCCGGCAGGAACATCCTGATGCGGAGACAATAAAAGGTAGCGGCTGCTCAATCTACAAAGACCTATGTACAATATTTTCTGAGCCAGCAACCAATGGCAGGCATGAATCCGTAGCCGCATCTGAGGGTGATGGTACTTCTAGGCCTTGTCCAGAGCCTATCAGCACGCAGCGAGAGGAGTCCTCTTCGGGATCTGAGGATGATGAAGATGATGATGATCCTGAAGCCATCCTACCTTCTACACCCATTGCAACATGTAACCGCAAAAGAGGACGTAAAGGAATCGACGATGCCATTGCGGGAGCCATACTGGAGATGGCAGCCGCTTCAAAAATGAGAGAAGCTGCGATAGAGCAGTATAATGCTAGATATAGCATGGCTGACTGTATAAAGGAATTAGATGTGATGCAGGGTGTTGAACGACCACTGTATTTTGCCGCTCTAAATCTGTTCAATAAACCTAACGCGAGGGAGATTTTCTTGTCTCTTAAAAGGGACAAACGTATAACTTGGTTGCGGGGCAAGTGTGCTGTTGCATCCAGTAGCAGCGCGGCTTGAAATAATTTTTTAAAAAAAATTTGTGTTTTTTTTTTGGTGGGGGGGGGGGGGATAGTATGATGTTTGCTCACACTCAGTTTTGTAAGATTTACTAGTTGAATAGTTGATGATGTCATATCGCAATGCTTTTGTTGCTGATAAGCCAGCACAAGAGGCAAGAGGCCTTCATCCAAAATTTCTGTTTGGCCGTTCTCCCATTCTGAGTTGTGCCTTAGTAATAAAAAGTAAACCTGCCCGTTGGGTCACTAACTTGGCCCTTAATGACGCCCGGTAACAATAGACCGCAACTGTTTTCCAGACAAAATGATAAAATAAATATGGAACAAGCCAACCGAGGCATACTATACCCTGAATTTGTAAAATAATACACAAGCTCTGAGGTCTTTTAACTGTCAAAACAAGATGTCTAATGGATGAGGAGCGCTTTGGGGATTGCGTGTGTGTGAGATATCTGAAACCGTATGAATTACAGAGAGATAATGTTTTTTTTTAATAAACTAAATAAAAGGAGGTTTAAAAAGGAGGTTTCCTTGAAACTAAATACTACCTCCGGTTCTAATTATAAGAACCAAAATAAAAATCAAACAGGATCTTATAATAAGAATCGGAGAGAGTAATATGTAAGTGGAAATATGTGCAACTCTGCTGTAAATAGAAACAGATTCATGAGGTTTACGAGTCCGACCTTGCGAGACCACAAATATTCGTGTATTTAGACTCTTTTTAAATAGAAATGGCAGCATGTCTGCCCGGCCAGTGAGACATATCCCACCTCTTATTGTGACTGTCAAATATATGACCTTAAAAGAATAAGAGATTGCGCAAATTACTGATTATAGAATTTGTGTTTGATAAAGAAATAAAATAGTTTGTTAGTCACAGACAAGATTACGGATTAAAGAATCAGTTTACTTTGACGCACAACAAGTTAAGAATTTCTTTTATTTTTATTTTTTATGACAAAGCAAAGAATTTGCATTCTATGTGTGCCGCATCGCGCAGCAACTGCGCTGATGATGACGACGCAGAATAATGGGACATCATTGTGTCAATGACGACACTGATGATCATATCCTTTCTCGTAGTTCTTCTATGCATTCTTTTTTCCAGCTTAAACAAGTCTTAAAATTATAGATATGGTCATAATTTATATACGCACATAAACTAAACAATATAAAACATAATTTTCAACTCATTTGATAATCGTTATGTAATGGCCAATACATGCAAGTAATGTATATGGATACCCATTATTCGCCTTCTACGAGGAAGCATGAAACGAGGATGCTCCCTGGACCATGCTTCAGATCTTCTTCTTTTTTCTTTTTTCTTTTTTGCGACAACGCTTCAGATCTTTACGTAAAGGAAAAACATAATATGCTTTGCCCTTGCCCCCTAATAATATGTGGCATCAAAATTCATTTTTTATTTAATTAAATTATATGACAAGCGAAAAAGTATTCATGAAAAAATCTCAGACACGAATGGATAACCTGAAACGCAAATAAAACATATAATATGCTTTCCTTCGTTTTGGTTGGTAACAAGAAGAAGATGGAACAAATGCTTTTCTTGATTTGCTTCATGGAAGCACCCAAAACCATGCGCAGAATTCTGCGGCGAATGATTATAAATACTACCCTGCCACCTTCTAAATTCTTCACGCAATAACAAATCCAAAATCCCTCTCCTCTGCCACAAATATATCCCCCCACTAACTGCAGTCACAGATGGCGCCCCCCCAAGTTAATGATGAATATCGCAACCAAATCAAAAAGGCCAGCGAAGAACTTGACAAACTCCTCTCCAAGAACAAGCATTACGCTCCTCTCATGCTTCGTTTGGCGTAATTTCCGACTTATGATCGATACATATTATTGGCGGTTTACATATGCATATTTGCGTGATGCACGCGTTTATAATTCTGTACGGAGATTCTATATATATATATATTGATTTGTAGGTTGCATGACGCTGGAATTTATGGTCTTGATATTGGTGCTGACCATTATTTGATAAAAAGAGGTCCCAATGGTTCAATAAGAACTTCCAAGGAGCTAAGTCATCCCTCAAATAGTGGCTTGAAAACAATCGTGGACCTTTGCGGTGAGTTTTCTTCTTGGGTTTATTTTTACAGATGTCGCGGAGCCTTGCTTTTTAATTTGTTTTCTTCTGAGAGCAGACGGAGTGAAGAATGATAATAAATGTGAGAAAATCACATATGCGGACCTGTACCAGGTGATTTTAATCCTCTAAACTTCTCCTAATATCACCATTTTGTTGACATATGCGTACTGTTACAATGATGAGAAACAAGATGAGGGTTCAAGATTTTCAACTAAACTGGTAACGTTGTGCGTGCATGGTTGATTTTATATATACTTTAGCTTGCTGGAATTGCTGCTCTTAAGATCACCGGCGGCCCAAAAATTGAATTTGTTCCCGGCAGAGAGGTACTGCAGATACATACTATCGTCCATCGTTACAAGTTGTTGTTTCATATATTTTAAATTGATTTCATACACGGCGCGGCTCAATGAATCTATATTCTTCTCCTTTATAGGATTCTATGCAGGATCCAGAACAAGGCGGGCCACTTAAAGATAAGACGCTAGGTGATTCCACCTTGACTGTGACTTTATGATAATATCATCAACTGATATTTCATAGATTATTATTATGATATATAGTTTTCTCTGTAAGTAGCAATCTTGGCCAAGGAGTAATTCTATTATTAGTTGGTCATGCTACATATATATCGCCGTGGCAGATGAGATTTTGTAAGTGACTGATTGATACTACTGGGCATATATATGTGGTTTCAGATGAATCAGTACTGGAGAAAATCACAAAACGCATGGATCTTGAAGAAAAACACATGGTGGCATTGGTTGGCGGCCTCTGCCAATGGGTAAGACGCAAAATATAGTGAAGCGTTCATGTTAAATCTCCTTTATCATGTATACCACTACACTTAATTATCGTACATACTCGTAATAAATTCATTGTTTAACTAATTGATCAGGATCAGCAACTTAAAAGCGCAGGCCAAGAGAAAAAGGCTGATGAAAGCGAAGGCCAAGAGGAAAAGGCTGATGAAAGCGAAGGCCAAGAGAAAAAGTCTGATGAAAGCAAAGGCCAAAAGAAAAATTCTGATGATAAGAAAGCACAAGACAGCTACCAGTTTGGCAATTTGTATTTCAAGTAAGCCATGTTAAGAAGATTGGGTAATGATTATCACCAAGATATATATATATATATATATATATATATGTATAGCATGCGGTATAGTAATCTCAGGCAACTCTTAACAGGGGTCTGCAGGAGAGGGAGCGGGATAACCCTTTATTAAAGAGTGGATTCCGCAAGTGGGCAGACACTTATGCACAGGTAAGGTATTAATGATGTTTTGGCAAAGCCAAGGAGTTGTGTTGAATACTAATGAACGAACGAACGAAGTAAAGTATGAATGGTGAGTCGGGTTGAAATTAATAAACTTTGGTGCAGTTTGAGGGCACATTCAGGATGGATTATGCTGCGGCGCACAAGAAAGTGTCGGAGCTAGGCATGAACGCAGCAACGTCAGGGAAGGGAGGCACACGAACTGATCAAAAGTCTTCAGCAACTGGCACTGGGAATCGTGCCAAGTTGGTGCAGCGCATCGGAATTGCTGTTGTCACCACCGCCATCATCATCGGTTTCTTCCTCAGCAGAAGAAGCAAGTGAATAACCCATCACGCACTCCTATATATATATATATATATATATATATATATAGATATATAACTTGTTCCTCCTTCCCAATTATTTGGGCGTCCTTGTTCGCCAATAATAATGTAAATCCTTTAATAAGATGAGTCTTTGAAATACTCCTCCGATCCTATTTATAAGACATTTCTAACATGTTTTACATAGATTAAAAAAAAACCTTAAATTTCATTAACTCTCATTTAAAATTTAATAACTTTCTAACTTTATCTTTATTTAATATACATTATACCTCATATAAATAAAGTCAACATAATAATAAATAGGGGATAAAATTGTATACTTATACAAAAAGTTTCTCTCAGTGCTTTATAAATAGAATTAAAAAATATCTTCTCTCTATCCTAAATAATAGGACCAGAGGAGTAAAATTTTAGAATATATATGCACATTCTCTATGCTCTCTCTCTCTGTGTGGAATATATATATTGCTTCTTTTTGAACTATTCCCTTTATTACTGGACTCTTGTAGCGGCAAAATAAGAACAAGGCACTAATTTTGTTAACACATAGAGTGAGTGATTGCTTCAATTCAAATGAATTACATTCATTGTCCCCCAAATCAATGATTTACACACACACACACGTGCCTTTGTCACAAGGTGATGAAGTATATATAAATAATTGAAGGGGCAGGAACAAATAAACTCATTAATCAAAATTTTGATTGAGTAATGTGAGACTTGCTAGCATTGCCTCGAAAAGTTACAAAAGCTTTCCAAATCAACATAGTGTATATAAACCTAGCTAGCCTGTATCTGTTGAGAAGTGATTATCTGTACTATATTTCTGAAACAAATAATTTCAAGTGAAGTTATGACTCACGTCAGTTCGACGACTAAGAATGTTGATCAATTAATATTCGCTCTTTCTAGCTGGTTTCATAAAATTTTCTCATATGTCGCCCCTTGCTCGTCAATTTGGTTTTGTTGGTGAACATAGCATTCTTCTGGGGCCTCATCTATGTCTCTTAATTATGGTACGGAACCGAAACATCGAATCGTTGTGTTTTAGGCGCTAACTCAAGGGTTGAGAGAGAATCGATTCGTTCGTGGATGCTTGTCGAGAGAGCGAGATGGAAAGAAGAAATGCCTTTGCTTGATTCCATGCAAACTAAGTTTGTCACAACAGATTAGACTCCTTATAATGCCTCTCTTGCTCCTAACATCGGTAATCTCTCTGCACTCTCACTTCGATCCATTGCCTTCCTCTCTCGTTGCTTTGAAAATGGCGGCTCCTCCATCATGTCAACCAAATCGAAAAGGTCAGTCATCTGCAGCCAGAACTGTGCTCTTATCATGCTTCCTTTGGCGTCAATGCTTCCATCTTCCTTTCTCACCACATGCTCCATCCCTTTGGTTGCAGAGGCCAACTTAAAAACAAACAGCAAAGAAAGAAATGAGCCAACTTAAAAACAAACAGCAAAGAAAGAAATGAAATAATCAAGAGTATACATGTAATGACCTGTGTAAGTAATGTACATATCGGTACTGTATATTATTCGCCTTCTCAGAGGAAACATGACAAACAACATACTTCCTCCACTATGTGTTTCAGTTTTTCACGTAAAGAGAAAACATAAATATATAAATTGAAACATAACTAAGATATTACAAATAACTAATTTAACTTATTTTCTTAATCTCCTCAAATTAGTTAACTAGCTTTTATAATTAGAACCGGAAGCAGTATAACTTAGGGCCTGTTGACCATCATGTTGGACACCATTTTATAACCATATTTCATGTAAATTAAGACAACTCATTTTATACAAATCTTATAATTAGGACCACGATTGTCTAGGAATGTTGATTTTTTTTTTTTTTGACAACAAGAATGTTTTTTTTCATTCTGGTGCACGGCAAAAGGAATGTTGATTACTTGATATTGGCTCTTTCTAGTTTCATAAAATCTTCCCACATAGGCATATATTACTCTTGCCTCGTCAATCTGGTTTTCTTGGTGGACCTAGTTCCAACATTTCTTCAGGGGTCAGGCCAAGTTTTCTTCTATGTCTTTTATGGCGTGGGCCCGAAACCGAGTTGTGTTTTAGGCGCTAACAAGGGGAGAAAAAAGAGGGAGGGGAGGAATCGATTCGTTTCGTGGAAGCCTGTCGAGTGAGGAGGGATGGAAAGAGGAAATGCCTTTACTTGATTCCATGCAAACCAAAGACCATTCTCTTCAAGTTTGTCATAACGTACTCCTCATAATGCCTCTCTCGCGCCTTCAAACATCAGAAGTCTCTCTGCACTTCACTTCCATTGCCTTCCTCTCGCGTTGCTTTTCAAATGGCGGCTCCCCGTGTTGACTCTGATTATGTCAAACAAATCGACAAGGCACGTCGCGACCTTCGCGCTCTCATCTACAGCAAGAACTGTGCCCCTCTCATGCTTCGTTTGGCGTAAATGCTTCCTTCTTTGTTTCTCACCATGCTCGATCATCCCTTTGGTTGCAGAGGCCAATTTTTTTCTTTTCTTGAGAAAGAAATGAAATAATCAATTGTTCGCCGTGATTTTCGTTGCTCTAAATATTAGTTTCCGATTGATTAGTCGACGCATTTGAAGTAAATTCCGGCCCGTTACATGTTTATAATATTTTATCGGAGATTGATGCGACTCTATATATTTGCAGGTGGCATGACGCTGGAACCTACGATGCAAAGACAAAAACAGGAGGTCCTAATGGGTCAATCAGAAATGAGCATGAGTTGAAACACGACGCAAACAATGGTTTAAAACTAGCCGTGGAACTCTGCGGTGAGTTTGCTTCCTTAATTCACTTGATCCAGATGCATTTTTACCCATTTCACCCATACTATATTCGGAATTTTTTGACAACAGAGGACGTGAAGGTCAGACATCCAAGAATCACATATGCCGATCTTTACCAGGTGATTTCAATACTTTAAAGTGCTATAAAGAACTATGGTTTGTCATAAGGATTTTAAACTGGGGTTGTACATGCTTAGTCACATATGGACTAACTTATATGATCGAGTTTGGGTTTTAGCTTGCTGGAGTTGTTGCAGTAGAGATCACAGGGGGCCCAACAATTGGCTTCATTCCAGGCAGAAAGGTAAGGCCATGGCAGACCAAAGTACTAACTCCAGGATAGAATCAATAATTAGGCGTGGGGATTCTCTTTGTCCCATTAATTAGCGGCCGCTGAATAACTCTGTTCTTTTCTTGATCAGGATTCATCGATATCCCCTGACGAAGGGCGGCTTCCAGATGCAAAACTAGGTAGTAATAATCTCTACTTGATTCAACAATCGCTGTCTGTATGAATTCAGATCCTCTTGTTGGTTTTTTGGTTGATTGATTTAACTGTACCGTGATGGTATGACCTCAGGTGCAGCACATTTAAGGGATGTGTTTTATCGCATGGGTCTGACTGATAAAGATATTGTGGCTCTTTCCGGAGGCCACACACTGGTAATACAATGAAGTATCCAAACTACTTAATCATATTAGAGGAAGAACACTTTGAAATTCATTATTTGGATTTTAATGAACCAGGGCAAGGCACATCGAGAACGGTCAGGCTTTGAAGGACCATGGACAAGGGACTATATGAAGTTCGATAATTCGTACTTTAAGTAAGCCGCTGAACCTGAGGCGATGAGAATTAACAACTGTTATAGTGTATGAGAATTGAAATTGCGTGCAGGGAATTGCTGAGAGAGGAGCCAAGCGAATTATTGAAGCTCCCCACAGACAAGGCTCTAGTGGAGGATCCTGAATTCCGCAAGGATGTCCAGCTTTATGCCCAGGTAATTATTAAGCGCCAAAGAGCCTGAAATTGAGACCAAGGAAAAAAAACAAAAAAAAGGGAAAAGGTTGCTTTCTTTATTTTGCCTAGGGACTTGTGCTGATGATTTCTAGTTTGTTGCTGTAGGACGAGGATGCTTTTTTCGCAGATTATGCCGCTTCCCACAAGAAACTCTCAGAGCTAGGCATGAAGCCTTCTCAGGATCGTCTCACGCTGGCGAAGGGTATTGGGCTTGCCGTTGCCAGCACCGCCATCATCCTCGGTTTCTTCTGGACCAGGAGAAGCAACTGAACACCACCCACTTCCCAATAATCTCATTTTCATCGATGTGTGACTCGTCAATAAGATGAATTGTCTTTGAAGTAAAATTTCAATATCTTTCTGCACATTCTTTATATTAACTCTCTCTCTCTCTCTCTCTCGACCATTCATTTTATATTGTGTTTTTACTCGAGTGCGCAAACGACTGGCTAATCAGGCTGCTAAAGGATTTACTTCGAAAAGTTATTTATGGTAAAAAAGGATTTAAGATTCATTTTCAAAACCCAGCTCTTTTAATTTACATAAAATTTAAGTGTTAAAAATTTTGCTTGTGGTTAATTAAAATGAAAAAAAATAGAGGAGATTTCAAAATATAATCTGAAATTTCTTAAAAATTGGAACTCTTCAATAAAAAGAAAATCTTTTCAGAAACAGCTTTTCAATTAAAAAAAAAAAAGTCCTAATAAGAACAGAGAACAGAGTGTGTGAAGGTCAAGCATCTAAGAATCAAATACATATGCCGATCTGTACCAGGTGATTTCAATACTTTGAAGTGCCAAATAAGTTCCTTGTCATCTTGAATTTTACTTGCTTTGACGTATAAGCTTCGTCCCCTCCCCCTCTTCTGTCCAAGAAAACTAACAGTTTTATATGCCTAAGTCATAGACTGACTTACATGTACATATGCATCATTGAGTCTGTGTTTTAGCTTGCTGGTGTTGTTGCTGCAGAGATCACTGGGTGCCCAACAATTGAGTTCGTTCCAAGCAGAAAGTTGAGGTCATGTTATAAGTTCTCACTATATAATTAACAAAATATTAGTATAATTTTTAGTCATTCAAGTTTCTTTTTATTATAGTTTTGATCTCTCAATTTTTAAATAATAGATTTTGATCTTTTAAATTTTTTTACTTAAAATATTAGTCTCAATAATTTAATAAAATCTGAACTATTTTATCCGGAAAACTAAATCCATGACTTGAAAATTAAGAGACCAAATCCAAGATGAAAATGAGGGAACACAATTAGTAACTAGGCGCGGGGACCATTCTCTTCTGCAAAACAAAGAACCCGTGGGCCCATTATTTACTGGCCGCCAAACAACTCTGTTCCTCTCTTGAGCAGGATTTATTGACATCCCCAGAAGAAGGGCGGCTTCTAAATGCCAATCAAGAAGGCATTAAGGAGGATTTATTTATCGCTGACAATACATGGTGAAATTACCTCTCCCCTCGTGCTTAGCTGATATTTGATCAATGGTTTAATTCAAATCAAAAGCTCAATTCTCAATCATCTCTTTCAATAGTTTTCGACTTGTCAATGATCCCGCAATCTAATTATGGTTTGGTTATGCTATTAGAAAATTTGTGATTTGCTTGGTTTATAATACAGTGAATATTATCATAGCACACTTCTGCAGTTTTGTCCCTTGGGTCTGACTGATAAAGATACTGCGGCTCTCCGGAAGCCATATACGGTAATACGATGAAGTACCTAAAACTGCTCAATCATATTAATTGAAGAACACTTTGAAATTGATTATGTGATTTTAAGAAATTAGGACAAGGCACATAGAGAACGGTCAAGCTTCGAAGGTCCACGGACAGGGGACTATGCAAAGTTCGATAATTCGTATTTTAAGTAAGCCGCCGAGCCTGAGAATTAACAACTATTCGGGGGAATGAATATATATAGTGTGTGAGGATTGAAATTGCGTTCAGGGAATTGCCAAGAGAGAAGCCAAGCGACTTATTGAAGCTCCATAGTTCCGCAGACAAGGCTCTAGTGGAGGATCCATAGTTCCACAAGCTTGTGGAGCTTTTTGCAGAGGTAAGCACCAAATTAAAGAGCTTGAAATTGAAAACATGAGATTAAGAATAAATATGATCAGTTTTCTTGTTCCGTTCTAAATGTATTCTATGAAATTCTTCTTTTTCTTTTGATATTGACATATCTTATGAGCTTTGAGCAGAGCAGCTCTTCAAGCCGCGCTGGTCTTTACAAACATTCTCCCAGCTCCGGGCCATAGAAAGGCTTCATGACATCCGCCTTCCCTTTTGGTTCATGCCCATGCCCATGCCCAATACTTGTTTGTTCCGTGAATTTCTTAATCTATCTTCTTTCTCACGATCCTTCCCCATCAATTTTAAAGAAGAAACTCAAATAGGTTAAATTCTATTAAAAAATTGAATGTAAAATAATGCAATGTGGAATTCAGCTCTTAGGCATTTCATTTATAAGTCAATGATGTACCTCGTTTACAAGGCTTGGCAAATAAATAAATGAATGGGAATAAGACAAGTGAATTACTAATTATAATCTACCATGTAACAGCAGCTATTGGCAGACCTGATTATCATGCTGCGTAGTCCTCTAAAGGGACAGAGTTAAATATGGAGAACAAGTTCATCTCCCATCCTAAAATTACAACAGTTTTATTGAGACCATTTTTATTGATTTAAAAATCAAATTCGCTTAGGCCCTCGGACTCAAAGATAGAGTAAGATCTTGAAACACCTTAAGCCTCTTGTCAATTTTCCTCTGGAATATACCGGAGGTGTTATCTGACTCCTCCGTCGGGCCCAGAATGGCAGCAAGAATAGCATCTTCAAAGTCCTTGTTGTTCGGCAACAACTCTGTCAGCTTGTCCCCTTCACTTTCCGCTGAAAGCCTTCTTGTCTTGTTCTCGGGCACTCCTGATTCCCTCTGCATCGTATTATTAATCTCCCCTGCCTCGTTCACTCTCATTGATCCGGCAGCATTTCCAGACCTTGTTCTCTTTAGAGTCTCCGCAAATTGATGATTATGATGATGGTGGTGGTGGTTCCCAGTTGGTTCTCTTAATAACATCGGCTCTTTACTAAAGGATTTTGAAGCGTAGAATGGCGGTGCCGCGACATTAAGGGAGTTCCCTAATGGTGGGCCAACGTGTTGTTTACTACTAATAACACCCTTCTGCTGTGGCGGCATGAAATTAGGTACTATATTCGAATTCATATTCTCATCAGCGAAATCATCTTGGGCTTTGACGGAATTAGCATTGGTATTTGTATTGGTAGCCGAATTGGTATGATCTTTACAAGGCTGAGGCTGCCAGATTGATGAAGAACCCAGAAAAGCTTCGAAGAGCCTGCTCTGTTCGACCCTGTCAACCCCTCCCTTGTTCATCGTTTCGGACTCCAGATCCTTCAGCATTTGCTGTGCCCTCTCATAGGCTTTCAAATGAGAATCTGAGCCTCTTGGACCGTCTGCAACTGCCGGCTTTACCCGACCCAAGGTCTCTTTAGCCTCAGAAATTCTCCCTTGCTTCATCAAGCAGATGCCCAAATTGCACATCTTGTTGTTATCCGGTGCGATTGAAAGCGCCCTGCGGTACGCATCTTCTGCTTCGATGTAGTTGTTCTGCTGCATCAGTGCCCACGCCAAGTTTCCCTATATTCATTCAACAAGCACACGAGTTAGCTTCCTGAGTCTTAGAAAACCAGAGTAAAAATTATCCCCGCTTCTTGTTCTTTCTTACCAGCAGTCTAGTGGCTTCTTGCTCCACAGAGACTTGGAACTTCTTTCCTTGGGATCTAGCCGTCTTCGTTCTCTTGCCATTGAAAGCCAACCCTTGTTGGATTAAGTACAGTTTGTGCTTCAAGAGAATTATTTGATCATCCAGTCTCCCACACCTCTGTCAAAGAGAAAGCTTGTGAGTATTGTTGGTGATACATGAGGGAGAGCAATTATATTGGGAGAAGTAAATAACCTTGTAAAGATCTAAGAGGATATTATCAAGAGATTCTTGGGCTTGATCTGAGCATTTGCTTCGAAGCGATTTGATAGCTTCAATGGCCTCTTCAGCCCGATTCTGCTGCTTCATCACTATAGCCATATCTTTCAAAGCACTGTCCACTCTGTCTCCTGCATTTATAGCTGCCCAAAATAGAGGAATGGCTCTCTCTGGGTCCTTATCCACCAACTGAACGAGGAAAATCGTTAAAAATATGACGAACTAAAGAATCTCGTTAACCTAAACATGATAAAAACCAAGAGAGGATCAAAATTTTAAGGAACCCGAGAGACTTGCCTGGACATTTTTGGCTCTGACGTAAGGAGTGTCACCAACAGGGACCTTGTGGGTCACATGGAAGGATTCCGAGCGAGTTCTTAGAACCCCAAGAGGCTTCGCTGGCGAAGAAGGAGCAGACTTGGAGGGTCTGAAACCAGGGGGAGCATTCCACATGTCTTGGAACATTGTGAAAGCGGAAGACTATCTGTAACGGGGATTATCGTTCTGTCGAAAAATAATTGGACCCAGAATGTTGTGGAATCAATCAGAAGCAGACGACTGGAAGAAAGGAAGTAGGATGAGAGGACGAAGACGAAGCGGCAGAGGTGTTGAAGGAGGGTCCGACTTAAATGGGTATAGGTTTGAACTTCTTACCGTTATAAAACTAGCCGTTGGGACGCACAGGGGAGATCGCCCGGAAACGGGCTTGGGCTCCCTTGAACGGCTACTAAACTGAGAGTCCCATAAGTCAAATATATTATTATATTCGTTGTATTGTAGGAGCCAATCCAACATAATTCCAGAATAGTTTTTTTTTGGACCAAAGAATAGTTTATTTGTAGATAATTCTAGTATTTTTTGGGTCGGTAAATAATTCTAGTGTGTCGATGTATTTTATTATTAAGACTCGATATTTTTAAAATAAAAGGAAAATACTCAAAAGAAAAAAAAAACTACAATCAAAGACTAATATAGAGTCTCTAAATACATAAAAAAAAGGCTGTAGTCTATAATCTATAATTTGGTAATTACAGTTAAAATTATAAATTTGTATAAGGTAATCATTTTCGCAACTTTTTATTTTCGTTAATTTTGACTCACTGGACACTTGTTCTGCGGACAACACAAACCGCCGCGCGCAAATTAATAATTCACTTGTACTGAGCGGAAAATCTTTTAAACAAGTATATACAGAGAGAATAAATTAGAGATTTGACATAATGAAGGTTGGACCAATATCTATATATATAGATATACTTATACATATAGAATAAAGAAGGAACTGACGATTAAAATGAAAAAAGGGGGTGAAAATATTTTATTTTGTTTAATTTTTTGGGCCAGTCAGATGCTTCCAATTCTAGAACTGATCTCAATCAATTGTAATGATTTTGACATATCAAAATCTATTAAGATGACTTATTTATTATTTTTAAATTCAGCAGGCATTTTTTTGGGGTTAAATTCTCGTGATTCTTGAAAACTGGTTGGTATTAAAAAAACCAAAAAAAGTTATTGCATGTGCTTCAATTCATATCTCACATTACTCGTCAATTGCCACATGAGCTAACTTTATGTGGCCAAGTGATTAAGATTTGTTTTTGTAGTTTGAGATCCTTTGTTTTTATTTTTGTATTTTGTTATATTTGCAAAGTAACCGTATCACCTTAAAATTTTCGTTTAGTTCAATACTAATCTCTTTTGTTTTCCTGCGCAGCTATATCTGTTAAATCTTTTATGTTCCCAGTGTTAGAAAAACCATGGTCTGTTGCTGGAACACTGTTTTACATTGTTGCGGGTCTGCTGATTTAAGCATCTAGTGTCTGCTGTCTTAGAATATTTATACGAAACTGCCACATATCAATAAGGTATTAGTTTATTATAGGGAGCCGAGAGCTGCATAGTCCATAACTATGGAAGCCAGAAAAGAAAGAGACCAGAAAGATCATGAGAAACAAGCTGCGCGCGATTCCCCTATAAGCATAACGTAGTTATAATAACTGCAACTGAATCTTGTTGACGATGGGACGAGCCTTGCAGAGAGCCTCCAATGGAGCGGCTCTGCGCATCACCAATCCGTTAGCTGCCGTCATGTCGACGGCTTCCCGGCCGATCCTTTTCCAATCAAAGCACTGAATCAACACCGCCGCCGTCAACCCCATTGTTCCCATCGCCAGTGGTTCTCCCGGACACGCCCTTCTTCCCATCCCAAATGTTATCGGATTGCGCACATCCCCTTCCCCATTATCGTACCTCTCCGGCTTGAACCCATCTGGCTCAGCCCGTAACTGTGGGTCCCTGTGGATCCCATGCATTCACCAACACCATTGTGCCACGTGGCACATCAGACCCTTCCACTCTGCAATCTTCTGAAGGCTGAAGCCAAATGCACGTTCAGAAATGGGTTCGGTGGGAAGACTCGCATACTCTCGTTGATGATGTTGTGAAGGTATCGCAATTTAGGCACGTCCGCCTCTTCCACGAGCCATTCTTCTCCTACCAAGCTTTTAACTCTTCCCTCGCTTTCTCCAATTCATCTGGATGGTTTACCAGATTCGCCATCATCCATTCTAATGCTGTGGCCGCACTGGCACCAGCCACCATAACCTGCAAAAATTCAAGCACTTTCATAATCGTTTCCCATAGACCCCTGGTGAGATGTAACAAAAAGCAACGGCACAACAACTGACCAGAATAAGGGCTTTCACAGCTTCGTCGGTGTAAAATTCGGGCTCTGTTTCTTGGGATGAGAGCAAATGATCTACCATGGTATTTTGGCGTTCCATCCCTCTCCTCTTGGAACGATACAGGTGGATGAGTTCGTTGAACGAATCGTCCAGCCTCTTCTCAATATTTGGCAGCTTCTTCGGGTAACCTCTATAATCAATCCACCGAAAGAAAGGCACGAAATCCCCGAAGTTTGACTCATCGTTTCCCAGGTCGAAAGCCGAGCTCTCCTTCATGACCTCTCTGAACCGCTTCACCTCATCCAAGTCGGTCACATCAGATTCGTTATTGTAAAACCACTGTCCCCAAACCATTCTCATTGCCGCGTTAAAGGACATATCCACAAGCATTGACCTCAGCTCCACTTTCGCAAAGTCTTGGCCACACACCCGGCGCAGCTTACGTAGCAACAGCTTAATCTCGTCGTTTCGGATGCTGAGGAAGGAGTTGATATGTTTCACTGATAACATGTCGAGGGAAATTATACGACGTAGGTTGCGCCATTAATCGCCGTAGGGTGCCATGACGACGGTGTTGTTGTTGTAAGCGAGGTGCTTGGTCTTGAGGAGGGGAAGACGGTTCGCCAAGATGGTGTCGTTTTTAGTGAAACACTCTTGACAGCCTGATAGAGATGAAACGACGACGGCAAGCTGAGACCCAATACGGAGACTGTAGATGGGGCCATAGTTTTGAGAAATAGAGTCGAAGAAGCGAAAAAGAGGTTGTCCCAGTTGAAGGATGTTGCCCAGTATCGGCAGGGAAGGAGGACCTGGAGTGATGTTTTTGGATGTTGATCTTGTCTGGAAGAAGATCCTCAAAGCCACAAAAATAACAAGGCAAAGAGCAGCAGAGCAATACATCAAACGATCTTCCATAGTTTACTGTTGTCCCTCGTTCTTTTCGGTATGATGTATGACTCCTGTATGCACGCCTTCGTCACACACACACACACACGCGCGCGCGTGCATATGTGTGGGAAGGTGGAGTTGACACTCATCAATAGCCTAAGACTATAGAGAGGTTGCAATTATTATTGTTAAATTAAATGTTGGATATGTTCATGGCTGCTTCTCCTTTGACGTCATTCCTAATCATTTTCAATTTCCATTATATATGCATCAGTGCATGGTTGGTGTAATCTGAAATCTTTAGTTTTGTTTACAAATGGAAGTTGCTAATGCTCTTTTATAATTTATAACTTTTCAATGGTCGGGTACAGATGTACATTTTCTCTGGGCCTCTTGGTTGGATGAATCTGCTTATTTAGAAGGAAATGAGTGGAAAGGAAATGAAAGTTAAGGAATAGGGCAGAAGGATACAATGTACGGTACGCAGTGAAGATGAGAAGACTCGACGAAAATAACAAGTCAATTGGTGGAAAAATAGAATGTATGAACCACTTAAATTCAGAATCCACCTTAATATCCTCTACTCAGTGTGAAAAATTAACAGTGATTTTTAATTATTATTAATAATAAAAAATAGGAAGAATGACACTTAAATTCTAAAAAAATTAATTTAATAATAGTTAAATCTAATTATCCAAAATAATTTTACTAAAATAAAATCGCAAATATATAGTTAGACGGTTATAAGTATAAGAATGCTAGTTGTAAATCTGACATTTAATTCTCATAAATACCCCCACTGATTTGGAATTAAGATTCCCATATTTGTATCTATATAAATTATTAGTAATGGGGACACATACAAAGAAAAAGAGGGGAAAATCACAAACAAAAACTTTAAAAATAGAAAAATTGCAAATAGGAACCAATTACAACATTAATATAGGTTTTGACAATAATTGATAAGCAAATGACAACAAATTTTATGAACAAATCCCTATGTATAATTTTTAAATTTCTATGGCCTTTTTTTTGTTGCAATTTTTCAAGAAAAAATATGCAAGGAAACTTGAAAATGGATTTTTTTTTTCGTTGTTATTACTGCACGTCCAAGGTGATGGGATACAAGGTGTCAGGGTCAGACATTGGATAAGAACTATTCAATTCAATGGGGACCATAGCTTATGAATCATGTCGCCTTATATTGATGAATTTTAGACTTCTTTATTTCGAATTTTTCTTATGTTGCTCTTAGTAGCGATGACTCCATTGATGATAGAGGCTGAGGGTGTATGCTCCGCTAGACTAGATGACTAAAAGATAAAAACTACGTGACATAGCGCTCCATGCTCCAGCAGGGCCTCTGGCCGCAGTAATTTCGATTAGACTGTTAACAGACTTTGATGAGGAAAACTTCACAGGGACACGCAAACTGTGAAGACGGACGATGATGCAAGACTACCCAGTTTTTCCGATACAACACTGTTTATACTGGCCTATTTACGGAAATAGATATGGTAAATGCAACCATAAGCAGTCCCGAAACCTCTTGCCAAAAGTTTGCTTCATCTCAGTAAACATGATTTCAATCTGAATTCACCACAATCATCAGCATTTCCTTTCCCATAAGGATTATCACCAGACATTCACGGCATAAATTTAACCCATAGTATAGCAAGTTCGGCCAATACCTAACAACACAATGTTGGAGTAAAACAAAACACAAGGGGAGAAACAAATCATGTCTCCTTCGGAGGGCCTTTCTTTGCAGCCTCAGCAGCAGCTTTCTCCGCTTCAATCTCAGCCACAATGGCATCAATTTCAGCTTCCTCAAGTTGCCGCAGACCATGCTCCTTAGTCATCACAGCAACTTCTATGTTCTTGCCTCCACTCTCAACAACCTAATTACGTACGCAGAAAGGGGGGAAAACAATTACAACTGACGTAAAGTTCCAGTGTAAAATATGCAAACCATCGCTGAAAGTACAACTATAGTAATGCATCAGGCACAGACAAAATCTGATCCATTTACAATTGACAGTTTTGAACACTTACAACAACCGGAATTTTTATTAGGTTTACTCAAGATTTTGTATGAAGTACAAGAAACCTCTGACACGCGAAAGCATTTGTGTAGGAATCGCTAGAACCAAAATTTCGATAATGAAAAGCGTGAATGCATTGGCAAGCCACTAAACTTGCCATACCCACAAAAGTTTTGAATGCATTGATTACCAGGTCTCGACCTACCATTAAAAAGCACATGAATTCTTATTCCAATGAAAAGCATGAATAATTCAAAATCAGAAAGACCAGTGTGCAACAGTCATCTTTCCTCCCAGGAATATTATGAAAGTACGACTCCATGATGCCCTCCCTGTCCATATGATCCGCCCCAAGAGCCAAAAAGAGAACTCAAATTACTAGCACCGGGGCAGCATCAACTCGGGCCCCATAGAAGCCTACACTTCAGTTCTCATGTTAAGCAAAACACAGCAGCAATGCTAAACAAAGGAATGTCAGGAATGACTTTCAGCCATACTATTGCACTTCCATAAACAATTATATATTTAGCATTCTAGTTTATTCGTAAGATGGAGTTTTGGACACATAGCATTGTTGTTAGTTGCTTGAACCACTACAGAAGCAACTCCAAATTAAATATTGGAAAACTTGGAGCAAGTAACCACAAGTCCAAACTAAATTCTGCATTTTTTTGGCAAACACCCTTTAAATCAAAATATTTCAAACTATTATTTAATGTTTCTTTGAATCTTATGATCTTATAGATTTATGATTCATGGTTAAAAAAATTAGCCTTTTGATTCATGATTTATACATAACTGTATTAAATGACAAGTTTGACGTATTCCAACAACATTCATATATTCCATGTCTAGAAACCTTGTCCAAATTTTAAGACATCAGATCTATGAAGACTCTCCTACAATGAGCACCAGTCAAATTCTTGGCAAATGTCACTGGCCTGCTGTCTAGGTTAGGCATACAGATTCCACTATCTTCTGCTTTTATAATGTCTCTTCCAATCACTTGACTTAGAAATCAACTGAAAACACTCTACTCTAAAAGTTCCTCCCAAGTCATTGACAGCAGACTATTCAGAGAACAGATATCTGGAAAAAGCATTAAAAAACAGAGACAAGATCCTATAACTGAGACATCTTGCAGAAAGAAGGTGCAAAGATAGATAATTTGAAGTATGGATATGGTATAAAACACAGAAAGAATCATAAAAAATCTCACTTCAAGCAAGGCTCGAATAGCCAGCTTCACAGTTTCTTGCCCAGAAGTTTCTTTATAGTTCTTCTCTAAGAACTCTCGAATTGAATTAGAGTTTCTGCCAGTTGCATTAGCTTTCCAAGCTGAGAACGTCCCAGAAGGATCAGTCTGGTACAGTGACGGTGTACCAGTGTATGGATCAAAACCAACAATCAAGGTTGAAAGGCCAAATGGTCTTACACCACCACTTTGAGTGTACTTTTGCTGAAGACCTGCAATGAAACGAGTTATGTACTCAACTGTAACTGGGTCCTCAAGAGTAAGCCTGTGACTTTGACATTCAACCCGAGCCCTGTTGACTAGAACTCGGGCATCTGCTTTTAGTCCTGCACAAGCAAGGGCAATGTGATCGTCTAGACTGACAATCTTCCTCACCGATCTGCAAGTGAAAATGCAACAACATCATGAAAAAGTGAACACAGTAGCATACTTTCCAAATTTTTAAAATTTTAAAGATAAGTTGATAAGTCTTGCAAAGATCTATTGTCAAGAGAAGACCAATATGAGACAAAAATAGGAAGCATAGATGCTAACCTGGGCATAAGAGTTGAAACAAAAATCAGATACAGACACTATACCCATCATTTGCAATGGGTAACAAAAAACAAGGCAAAAAATTGTAGCAACATTTAGAGACAGACACTATATCCATCATCTGCAATGGGTAACAAAAAACAAGGCAAAAAATTGTAGCAACATTTAGAGACATGTTAACCAACCTACATACCAATAGATCGAATTCTTGGTAAATTGGTTCGAAATAAATATTATATATGTCAACGACGGTAGAAAAGTATCTGTGGTTTTAGTAAATATTATCTAAGTTCAAAGCATAAAAAGGTTCGAACACATACAAACCGCTTGCACCAGAATTTTATTTTTAGCCAAATCGGAAGCGTAAGGGATCAATCCCACAAAAACCCAATTACTGCTGAAAAGATCATTCATGCTGAAGTCAGAGTATAGACGGAGCAGTAAACACCCGCGACTATCCAGAAAAGGGGAAAACCTTAGTAATGTTAGGATGAAAAAATAAGGAAGTACCTGGTGTCTTGAAGTTTGGCGGTGGACTTTTTCTCGACGCCGAGAACGACAATGTCAGTGCCGCGGACGCCAACGGCGGCGTTGCCCTTGCGGACAGCTTCGAGAGCGTATTCGACTTGAAATAGATGGCCATCGGGTGAGAACACTGTTATAGCTCTATCGTATCTCGCCATGTCGATGAGATTCCCTCTTTATCTCCTCCAATTTTACGAAGGACGAGCTTTTCCTTCTCTGCTGATTGACACAGCAACGGACGATCGTGTTAAAGCTTCGAAACCACGGCAGCGGAGAGAAGCCCCGGCGTATTTGTCACCGCGAAGTAGGCGCGTGGCTGCTTAAGCAGCAAGGATACTACTAATCATGGGCTCTTGTGGGCCTTAGGCCCGTAATTGGACTAACAGAATTTGACCCGGTCTTATTGATACTACAGGCCTAATATTTCAGTGAAGCCCGTATAAAGGCGATGGCCCAACTTTACATTTCCAAGGCAGCATCATCATGGTCAAAAATTGACCCAAACAAATCATCCTATCAGGGATAAAACGCTCATCATTCTTTGAAAGTCAGGTCATGTGCTTACGTCCTCAGATGCATGCAACAATAGAATATTGGATCCAACAAAAGTAAAAATTTTACCATGTGATCTGTTAGAATGACAGGAAAAAGAATGCTAACTCAGCAAGTAAATCAATCTAGAGAGTAACCCGTGGTCGTCTGGATTACCCCACATGTATTTTATATATTTGTTAAATATTTTAGAATGTGTCAATAAAACGGACATTGTATTGCATTCAACAGGTATTGACTTTCAATCATGATATAGTCTGGTCAAGAAATGAGTTGATGTAGTAGAGGATTTTGTGTTTGTATCTGAATGTGTGTATGTATTGCAAGATATTCATATATGCAATAATAATTAGCACTTCAAGCTAAATAATTCATTCGAATCTGGTTAAAGAAAGAAAACTTGATAACGTCTCGAGAGGCAGTCTCTATGTCTCTTTAGTTGATTGTTTGTACATTTGCAGGGTATGTAGTCAGAGTATAGCCTGCTACGAAATAATAGCAAGTCAAGAAAGAAATGAGAGCAAGAAAACATTTGCACTTCAGTATTATTTCTAAGTCACAGGAGCGTGGGGCCTATATATTTCTCAGATATACATGTTAAGCTATGTTTTCCTCGATGCCACTAAGCGGCAGAACACATTACATATATGCAGCAGCCTAAGCAAATCCCTGGTTAACTTGGGTACAAGGTGAGAAGTCAGGATGTTGTTTTAGTGAGTGATAGGATGGTGGACACCATCAGCTTGAAGTCAATTGGCTTTGTCAAATAAGCATCCATGCCCACCTCCAGGCACTTAGCCTCATCACATGACATTGCATGGGCTGTGAGAGCAACAATGGGAATGTGCGAGCCAGTTCCTGCTTCTGATTTCCTGATTGCTTTCGTGGCTTCATAACCATCCATCTTTGGCATCTGAATTTTCAATGGCAGAGGGAATCAGAATTACAAATCAGAAAGCATTGTTGCTGTCTTTCAAAGATAGCCAAAGAGTAATCGGAAGAATAGTTAATAATATGAAGTACAGATTTATTAGTAGTCATATGCTAAATTCCGTTTTTTATTTATTTTGAATGAGTGGAATCAGCTGTGTTTTCTTAGGTTGCTTTTAGGCATGTTTTCTGTATACACATTTCTATTTTTCACGATAAAATCTTATTCAGGAAGTAGTGCCAAAGTTTGAACTGGTACTTACTGACAATCACTTCTAAGCACTGCTAATATACTTTATAATCATTACCTGACAATCCATAAGGATCAAATCATAAGGTGTACAGCTGATAATTTCTGTTTGAGATATTGCGCTTCTCTCCTCCATTAGAGACTCCCTCCTACTATCTTCAGGGCCGAGCATGCAATTCAGAGCATCCACAGCCTGCTGTCCATCACCTACTGCGACAACCGTAGCCCCCATTTTTTCCAACATTATGGTTGCAACTCTTTGAAGTACCGGAGTGTCTTCTGCAAGCAATATCCTCAGACCTTCAAGGGATTTCTTTCCATTGACAGTTTTACTTGAGCAAGTGACACTAAATGTTTTCCCAGAACCAGAATCTTTTCCTTGAGCTTCTGTTGAAAATGATGCTTGTAATTTTGGCTCCGTGTCTTCAAGGACGTCATGGCAGTTGGGGCTAGTCTGACATGATTCTTCTTTCCTTGAAATGTTAACTTCTGTGCAGTCATCAGTTAATCCAACGAAGCAGTTTTTTTGTTGTACTGTGATGGTGGATGGGATTTTACAATTTTTTCCCTTGGTTTATCTCCATTGGAACTATTAGAAGCACCCATTTCGGATATGTCAGAACCATCAGAGCTAGCACCATCAAAATGAGTAGAATCAATATCCAGAAACTCGTGTGCATCACCCTCTTTCGCTGTGGTTCTTGAAGCAGTCATATTTTTCTTTTGCAGCTCGAGATTTCTCTCCTTTATGACAGCTTCCAAAATATGAAACATTTTGGTTTTGTAAAGGGGCTTGTTGACCATCAATATATGCCCCTTCCTGCGAAGCTCCATCTTTACGGTCTTGGAAGTGTCATGATTTAGCACCCATGCGAACTTTGCTCTCCCAAAGTACTTGTAAAGGAAGTTGAGCTGTTCCTTCCATATATCTGTGCTCAAATCAAGCAGCCCTATGTCCACTATAATGACAAATGCTGGGTTCCTCATTTCTTCTATGCTGAGTAACTTGGACTTCCAACTCTTATTTACTGCATAATGTGCATCAAAACCATTACGGTCGACTGAACTTGCATGGAAGAGTTCCCTCAGAATTTGCGTCAGTTCATTCCATTCAGATGCCTCTAGAGTGCAAGCCCCATTTTTCTGTAACCATTTAGATGTGATAGATCGACCCGTGTCTCCATGTAGTGCAAGCAATACCTGCAATGAGATTTCTACTTTCAGAGTCTGCGATGATTTTCTGTTATCCACTAAGCATACGATTGTTCCTCTCTGGGTTCTCCATAATGTATATCCTATTATAATCACAAATAATTTTTTAGATGTTATTTGCACGAGAGTGCGATTCTACTCACCACTAAGTCATTCTCCGCATAATCTATTTGACAATGTTGTTCTGTGGCATCCGTGGGTGTACTGAGAAGCAGGTACAAGCGCATCAGTGTTCCTGGGCCTTCCTTTTTAACAACCTTGATTTCTCCACCCATCTTATTGACCTACCATTGAAGCGTACTAATAAGATCAACAGAATCATATTTAATTCAGCAAACTTGTATGTCTTTTAAGTAGGAAAAAAGGGGACATACAAGTCAAATAATTTAGCAAGCTTTATGTCTTTTAAGCAGGAAAAAAGGGGACATACAAGTAAAATACTAAAACCCTGATATGAAAATACGATTTTTAAAGAACATGAGCATAAAGCTCTAACTGAAGTTTTAAGCAAGCGATATTGTGAATAGCAACTATCCTTGATTTGTCAGAAATATTACATACTAAAGGTTACCCACCAAGGTTCTCACGATGCAGAGTCCTAGACCGGTGCCTCCATGCCTGAAACGGGAAAGGATTGACCCACTGTTTAACATTCACCCGTTAACATTTAAAAGATATGATAACTAACAGATGTAGGTTTCACAAAAGTTTGAAAGTTCAATACAATCTCATGTGACAACAATCATAATGTCTTTAGTTAAATTGGAAATTTCTTACAATCTAGTGGTCGATGGATCTGCTTGTTCAAAGCTTTCAAACACAGAATCCCATTTACTCGGATCAATCCCACAGCCCGTGTCATCTACTTCAAACCAGATAATTATTTGGTTGTCTCTTTTAGACGCCTTCTTTGCATTGTTTTCTTGTTGCTTCATTCTGGTCTTTTGTGGAGCCCGGGACTTCTGATTAAGACGAAGATTTGGGATATCACTGGAACAATTCGGGTTCTCGCACCATCCTCGAAGAATAACGTGACCAGCTGTAAGCATTTCAAAGAGTTAAGATTCCGTTCAGAATTTTGGTGCTTTGTCAATGAATGTGTTAATAACACCAATGCAATCAAATGTTTCCCTCTAATATGTGAACATCAAAGTCAAAAACCAAGTTTGGATGTTTGTTCGACTTTTCTATGGGGTCAAACAGGTAAGGACCTGTTTCTTGGGCTATAGACATAGTATTAAAAGTTTATTACAGAAAAAGCTGGAAGGAAAAGTCCGACTTACATGGAGTAAACTTGATTGAATTGTTGATCAAATTTGCAAAAATTTGAACAACCCTAGCAGAATCACCCTGAACTAACTTTGGCATATCATCTGCAGGAAAATATTTATTAACTAAATGCATCAGAATCTTTTTACATGAAGTTGACAATCATCTAAATTTTACTGTAAGTAAATGCTCTGATGCAAGAAAAATACGATTCATACCTGATAGGTCCAAAACAGTCTCTACGTTGTGGTTAATGCACTGCACAGAAAACATATCTACAAGTCCTTCAAGTTCCCGTCCCAAGTCAAATTCTGCATTTTCTAACACCAATTTTCCGGATTCCACCTAGATTCCATAGATGGTTAGGAAATTTTTTCAGCAGAAATGCAGTTTTGTCAGAGGTGAAAAACACGAAATTGATTTTCAATAGATGACTGCCAGTGTATGATCAGATGCTCTTAAAGGAAAGGCTTAGCTTACATATATCTCACCTTACTGAGATCCAATATGTTGTTAAGGAGACGGAGTAATGCAGTTGAGCATTTTCTTATCTGAGTGACTGTTGCATATTGTTCATTTGTTAGACAATCATCAGATATAAGAATGTCAAGCAACCCAATCACTGCTGCCATAGGTGTCCTCAATTCATGACTGTAATGTAACCAAAAAGAAAATATGAACATAAATTTTGAGCATAAAAGGCAATACCTTAAACAGGAGAACCAAATGTCCAAGACAATGAAGTACATCAATGTTAAAATTAGTTTATCAAAGGAAAAAATGAGACCAGAACGAAAAATTGTTGGTGGGAAATGAAAGAATGGTCATGCTTTCAAGGGGAAAAATCAGCGAGCACATATAATTCAAATCTTCCTGTTCCTAAGATAATGCCGAATCTTGATCTCTCACACTAGGCATCACACAAGCTGTTTAGCTAAAAGATCCGGCCTTTTACACCTATTACTATTTGATATCCTCTGAATCCCCCGCGGGCGGCTAATCCAAATCTGCCAGATTTGATGAAACGTTTTTTGTAGTCGACCAGTAATACCTATTCATCGCGAGCACCAGTCATGCTGAAATGA